TGTGTGTGTGTGTGTGTGTGTGTGTGTGTGTGTGGACGAGGCTTACCACAGCGGGTATTCCAATCATCTCATCTAATTCCTGGTTAAGTGCACCTGTTCTCCTGCTACTCTTCGCCAGATTTTTCCGTCACTTCAGTGGTAAAGTAACTCTCGGCCAACTTGCCTCCGGTGAATTCTCTTGTGCTTTTGTGATAGTTGCCTAGTGCCTTTTTGCTGACGTGAGTTTTTCCTGTGCTCAAGGATTCCTGGGCCTAGGCCATTCTTCATCCCTCGTCTCAAATCACCGCTAACACCAGCCAGACCACACCACCTTTTACCTGCCTGAATCATGCCTTTGTCAGCCGTGCAACCCACCTCTCCTACAGATCGCCTGTTGTCTTCTGTGTCAACTTCTGTGTCAGCCTTAAGAAGACCGTAGCACCTACCAGTGTCTGACCACAGTCTTCAGAAAAAAACTCCTGTGCTACCAACAGCTACATCGTGCGGAATCTGTAGGATGGCCTGCCCAATGCAGACCTCTAGCTCACAATTTTTTGAACACCAATCATGAGCTGCAATAGAACTACTTTACTATACAATAGGTTAACAGTTACACAGTACATACTCAAAGTAACTCAGGGCCACATAAAGTGGGGCATAATATATTCCATCTCATCTATTTTGAACTACAACTGCCAATCTACAACGCCGCTAATGAGACAACACTCCTGCCAACATGTTTGATTTTTGGAACTACAGGAGTCACTGTAATATAGTTTGAGGCAACAATTTTGACAAACAAAGCTACGCTCAAAAGTAGTTTTTTTCTATGTATTCTTTTAGCAAACCAAAACAACTGTTTAAATCTCCTACAATACAGGTTCCCCACAACCAATACTTTTGGTCATAACATAAGGCTTTGATGATTGAGGTATCTACCCCAAACACCTGTACATGCTCAATTTCAACAAGATCTTTAAGTGCCTACAGCAATGCACTGAACTGCAGAGAGGGCACATGCTTGGACTTATACTCTGGGAAAAATCCCTCAAATGCAATGAGCACCCATACACTGTACAGATGCATATAAAACACACATATGCACAAATGCCAGACAGACCCTGTGCAGTCCTGTTTTGATAGGCAATGAATTGAGTGTTGGAGATGAGGATGTGTGTGAAAGATTGGGCCGGCTCAGAAGCCGCTGTGCATGAAGGCTTGGAACGCACACATGGAACACGTAATTGAATGAGAAACGGTCTCTCGCTGGATCTAGACAGTTTTCTGGCACAGTTATAAAAGCACAAGGTCGGTACAGGCTTTAGTTTTTTGCTGCCTGTTTGCAGCACTTTTATTTGGTTAGCCCCTTTGAGTACTTGCTCTACATTCTGCCTGTGCCAAAGCATGCATAATGTCATGAACCTGTGTTGTTCAATACTTTACAAAAGGTATAAATCAGATCTAATAAAGAGTGGAAAAGACCTGTTTCCAGGAGTGAGTGAGACAGAGAGATTGGCAGAGTGGTTGGCCGTGCTGCTGCTGCTGCTGCTACTCTCCCTCTTCAGTGTCGCAGATCTCCTGCCAAGATGGACGAGTGCTGCGCTCCTGGTTTCAGAATTTTATCACAACCACACACACACACACACACACACACAGCCAATCTTCTCTCTGCTTGGCTGCACTACCCACACCCTGACACTATTGCTGCCATTCACACTTACATAAACCAAAGGCAGCCGTGAAGAATGAGCCAGTGGCATGCTGATAAATATTGCAACAAGAGGTGCAGCAGTTCCATGCACACAAACAAAAATAAATGCTAATGTGTACACCAGACAAGGGCTGACATAGTCTAAGTGATTTACAATCCATGGCCACAAGAAATAAACCATACGTGTCAACAAGCTCTTAGTTTTACTTTCTTTTTGAAAGCTGGCTGCTACAATCATCAGAACATATCTCATTCCACTGACTCCCTGGGAAAGTTTTAATTATCATAGAGGAACCAATATAGCAGCCTATTCCCTTATTTGAATGGGAATAGTATAACATGGGATAGAGAACTACCCTCGGACCTTTGTTTGCATTTTTCACAGTTTTTTCACACATGATTTGTTTAACTGGGAAGCCCAAGGTTTGATGTTGAAATTATCTTGGCTGCTTTTATAGGCATAACAATGTGGGAAGTTTGAAAATTGCACATCTTGCCAATTGATTTCGGATGAAATCAAGGGAACTTTAAACACAATGACTGGACCAGGTTTCAGAATTTGGCAGGATGAAGTTAATATATGGGGTAGAAAACCTTTGACATCAACAAAATAAAATACTGTTACAATCTTTATTTTAAAAAAATGGAAATTTTTAAAAAAGTGTTTTTTCTTTCAAAAGATATCTTGTTGGTACATATATCAGCAAAATGAACATAAACTTGCCTTGCCATTCAAAGTTACCTGAATACTAGTTTTTACAGGAAAGAGTGTATCCCTTTTATATTTGGGCATTCATATAGCCTACCTATAAGTTGAAATAATGTGTCACTCCAAAGGGATTCACTATCATGGTTGATCTTGCTGTAATCCTGAACTGGGGGTTTATGTTAGAAATAATATCAGGACTTGAGAAAAAATAATAACAGAAATTACATTTACTAAGGTTACATTTTCTGTGATGTTCCTGCAAACGTCAAGGCATTTTTGATTTGGTTATCAATGTGTTCTTAGATGAACAACCAGACCAATTTTGGTGCAGAAGGCTCTCCTGCAGTGCTGACATATTAGACCCAAACTGATAGGAGCTGCGAGGTGCTAGCAGTTCTTGCTTTCCTGGCTGCTTGCTTGTTCGTCACTTCAATTCATCATTTTTCTACAGTTTTATTTTGCTGTCTTGCTACACCAGGTCACTCGATTACAGCCTTGCTCCTGTCATTTGTCAAAAGCAACAGCCAGGCTTTTTATAGAACATTCCAATTTGTCTTTAAAGCACAGCCTTGGACAGTCAATTGGATGCTTTCACACAACTAGTGAAGTCATGTCTTGTATGTATGGAGGATGTATCTAGCCCATATCAACTTGCAACTTCTTAGGCATGATTCTATATGAACATACCACATGCAATACTACATGATAAGGACCTCAGTATCAACAACCTTGTGCTCCTCTTTGCAGATGATTGTGCTTTCTGTACTGATGCAGGGCAGAAATGCAGGATATTTGTTGATCAACAATGATTTTTGAAGAATTTAACAACTTCAGTCTCAAACTAAATTGTAAAACAGCCCTCATTCAATAAAGTACTGTCTTAATAATAGGGCTGGGCACATTAACGCATTATTATCGTATTAAAGCATTAATTCATTAATGCCAACAATTATTTTATCACACGTTAACGCAGTTATTATTATTATTTTTATTTTGAAAGTCCGTTGCTCACTGGCTCTAAATACACATACAGTCAAACCATGGGTCACAGGAGGGGTGGGATATTGATCAGCCTGCAAATCACCCACCCAAACAAGCAGCGGAGGGAGGATTCGGCAGGCTACATTGGATGCAGCGTGTGGGAGGAGTAGATAAACAAAAGCAAGACAGGCGAACAAATGCCATAGCGAACTGCATGCTGATTAGTATTGAGATGTTTTTAAAATCACGTCTTTGCTTGGCCCCGCAGGGTTGCTCTTGGCTCCGGTGAACACGAGACAAGCGCAAGTAAATGGCGGGCAATCTATGGATAACCATGGCAACGGCTTCTGTGCACTAAACAGCTGTAGCCTATTTAACTTAAGTTATAGGCTACATAACTTTGCCTGATAGGCCTTCATCTACTTTTGCAGGGATGCTCTGCTATGCAAATTCCCTCCTGTTGATGTCCTACTTACAAAACATTAATAGATTCTGGAAACTCACAGCGAGGATCAGTCTCTCTTCCAATCATTTGTGCTGTGTGTCGCATACAAAAAGTTCAACACAATTCAACTTCAGCAGCGTGTACGTGAGACGACCACTTCACCTCACTCTAACAGGGACAATTGCTATTGAACATAGACTGTTTCTGCTGCTCCCTGATAAAAGACAAATGTTTATCCTGACAACTGTTCAGAAAAAAAAACAAGAGAACAGATGGTAACTTGTTTTAACAAGCTAGATAAAAGGTAATGCCTTGGCAGTGTTAAATAGCTTTGGTTTTATATTTGATTTGATTACATTAATGTTTAAGTTGAGATTTACAAGAAATATTTTATTGCTACGGTGTAAAGGGAATACTGCACGTAAAAAGCATCTATTTGTTTAAAGTGTTAACATGTTATTGGAATTTTGTGTATATAGCAGTACATTTAAATTAAATGTGCGCAATCCACTAGTTTACAATTCATTATTCAATTTCGTGCATAACAATGCGATTAATAGCGATTAATCTCAGAAGATAATACAATTAATCGCGATTAAAATCTTTGCCCAAAATCATTTTTGCCTAAAATCATTGCCCAGCACTAGTTAATAAGCACCAACCTGCTCCATGAAAACCCTTTGTGAAGCCATGCAGTACTATCAGCGTACAGCCTCTCAATGTTGTTGAAACATTCAAATTGGCAGTATTCCACTTTAAAAAAGTGAACAAGGACAAGAAGTGAACTGCAGCAAAGTAACCAGAGCGAATGGTATGTCAGGGCACTGTATTCCCCAGACAGTTTCCACTTTCATCCTAAATGTCTCTGCAAATGTGACACTGTTGGAAACTGACTTTTCATCACCTGACAGTCAAGGTGAGTCAAACTGAGTGTAAACATTAAACTTTCCAAATGAAGTGTTACTGAAAATTAATCCGATAAACCACTAATCATTGGGTTATCTATTTCACTTACATAAGATTATACAGATGTCACCCAAATTTTCATGGTACTTTAAATGCTCCGAAATGTCAAACAATGGCCATGTAATGCCCTCGGCTTCTTCCTAGTTGAGACTTGCTCTGTTATTCTCTCTCTCTCTCTCTCTGTTTGTGCTTTGACTACAGGAGTGGAGTCAGGTGTGCGCGAGTCAGGCCACCACCTGCCAGTCATCATCATCACTCTGCTCCACTTCAAATACCTTGTTCCTGCTTCAACAAACAGCCAGATTGTAGATTCAGTTTCCTAGTCAGTCTTGGGTCAGCTTAGTTAATTCTGTTTTGTGTGTTTTGAAGGTTTGGTTAATCCTTGTTTCCTGTACCTTTCAGTCACCCCACCTGGACGTGACTTCTAGCTCTGCTCCTGTTCACCTTGGATCCTGAACACTCATCCCTGGATAGCTGGACTCCCTCTGCCTGATAATACTATCTGCTTTCCTGCCTGGCTCCACTCACTCCTCTGGCTTACAGCTCTAACCCAGAACTCCCCTGAACCACAGACTCTGCCCCTCATTCAATAAAGTATTGTGTTAATAAATCCTTCTTTGCACTAATTTCCTGCCTCAGTGTGCTGTGTTCTGAATTTGGGTTCCCACATTAGTCCAGTCATAACAGACTTAAAATGAGAAGTCTGCCCATTTTAAAAAGATTTTCACCATTCACACATAGCTAAAACATGCAAGATGTCTGTTTCAAAACTTCAGACAACACTTGAAGAAAATGTACCTTTATTAAGAATGAGGTAATGGAGGGGTTTAATGGCTTTATAGGAAAGAATTGAGTGGGTTTTGGCTTTAAGTGTTACAGCTGAAGTTTGGCTGTCCCGTAAACCCAGACACCCTTGTGATGGTTGATTTTAGTCACAGGTTTATATAAAGGCAGAAAGGTGATTAGAGAGAGAGGATTTAGAAGGGCAATTAAAAGCAGACCATAGCTCACTGAGCAAGTTCCTTGATTAATTCCACATTTTTTTCCGGCACACAGATTTTTTTTTTCTTCTGATGTTATCCCTCTATCTCCCTTGCCATGCTATTGTTACACTCACACAGACCCCAGAGAAAAAGTGCTGTCTGGGCAACAAGTTTAGGAACTAATGATACACAAGCAGCAACAAAAAATACTAGTAGGGTCATCAGGGTACAATTTATGAGCCAAGGTTTCACATAAGGGATTACGGTGTGTGCACAACCTGAAACATTGTCTACACTTTAAAGCTGCTTTGGGTTTCAGTGTTGTCCCTTATAAATCACTGTCACAAGTGCATGTGAGGAGTGTCGACCTGAACAGGAGTCATGATAAAAATCTAATCCCCTTTAAGTGATCCCAATGTTGGACTAAGATATAACTGGACGGTCCCAGTCCCTTAACGTGCTGAAATCATGACTAAACCAGCATGACATATTGCTATTCTGCTTTTAATTAGGTCAGAAGACAGCCCTTTTCTGAATTTTTATCCCTCTGCGTATAAGACCCTGGTGTACTGCAGTCCCATCTGCATCAGGAACAACCGCTCCAAGACCTAGTAGTGACCCACAAGTCTTTAAAACTGCATCATTGCACAACTAACATGCAAGTATTTCTTCAAAACAAACAAAATTGTAAACACATTGAGAACGAAGCTCTAAATATGTATAATCAGGGTTGCCAATTGATAAGAAAGAAACCCATTATAACTGCAAAATAAAAATTTTTGGCCCTATTATATTTTTTTGCTAAATAATCCATGTAAATTATGATGGGAGCTTAATTATTTACCCTCAGGGTAAAAAGAGTTTTCACAAAGGTTGCTCAGTCTGTGCATTGCTGCAGGGTTATCGTGCATGCTGATTTATCCCACAGGGCAGATGATGTTTTCATATTATTTGACGTTATTAAAGGCGTTTCAAATACATACTGAACAATTCCTCTACATGCTACAGCCCTGACTAAATATCTGAAAATATCTACTTACCTAATATCTACTTAGATGATAATGATGATAATTATGACTCTGAATCTAAGCCACAGAGGGAAAAGTTAGTTCACAAGGACACAAATAACACATGAATTTCCGACTTGTTTATTTTTTCATTCAATGCTTCTAGGCTCATTTATTTGCGTGTCCTTTATTCATTCCACTGCAATCTAAATGGTAATGTCAACGTTCTGTGTATCCTTCAGCGTCATGATTATCACGTTGGATCAGATCACCAATTGGCAAGGTGTGCAAGTCAAAATAAATATCTAAAATAATCCTTGTTTGATAAATAGCATAATAGAGTGCACATGTTCTTTAAACAGAGATATCTAGTGTTATGATGAACTGTTTATGTGTATGGTGAATCTGCAGGACGCATCAATCCTAAATCAAGATCAGGCTGTAGGACCAAACCTTGAAACCAGTAGCCTTGAAAGACTGAGGCCAAATCACACTTCTACAGGCACGAAAACATTGCAGCAGTCAGCACAGAAACACAAACACCACAATCTATCCTATCACATATCCCTCCACCAGCAGAACTAGGGAGGCCAGGAACCTACTCTACACTAAATCACAAGTCCCTCAGGAATTCGGGGCTGAATAAATGAAAATCCAGACACATACAACACTACTGTTACCTGAGATTTGAACTAACACATGTTAAGTGTAAAATTAAATAAAAGAGTTGTAGACATACAAGTCTGAGATCCGATTCTAAAATACTTAGTAGTAGTCCATCCATCCATCCATCCATTGTCAACCGCTTATCCTGCGTACAGGGTCACGGGGGGCTGGAGCCAATCCCAGCTGACACTTAGTAGTAGTGCTACTTACAAATAAATCATTAGGCTGTGGACTCACAAAATGCTCACTTGCGGTCTAAAACAGCTAATCTATTGATTTATAGAGAGCAGAGAAGTGTTATCGCATTCTTGTTGGACCACAGCACTCTTTGGCAAGTAAGACCGCTATTCCACCCCAAAGCAGCAAACACCCGCTCACCCGGCATCCCTCTCTAACCCCTTCCGGTCCCCTCCTGGCTACTAGACATAATGACTTACCACCGCCAAGTCAGAACTATTTGTCAGGCACTGAAATGTAAAAAAAAATAACACTAAAAGTGGAGGTTCCTTTTTAGCTACAACTCATTCTGGCAAGAAATTAAATTTATGAGAAGGTTTGTCTACAATAACACATTAAAGCCCTATGAGACGGGAATGCATGTTTTTATTCCACCTACAGGAGGAGAATTCAATGGAAAGTGGAGGAAAGGAGTAGTTCTGGTTAGAGTCAAAGTACACTGCAAATGTACTCAAGTGGTTTTTTGCTGTAGAGAGACCGTCTGTTGGAATTGGACAGAGGCATGTACTGTATCTCTGAGGGAACTGAAGGCATTTGGTATCGTGGTCAGGTTGGATCCAGAGCCAATGTTAAGAGTGTGCCTCGTGTCTCAAACAATGCTTTTGAGTTACAGCGCATTGTTTGAGGTTAGGGCATGTGGTTGAGTAGAGGTCTGGTGCACATTGTAAACTCCACTGTCTGTGCTTCTTCATTTACATCTCTGCAGTCTCAACAAAAAAATGGTGTCTCTGAAGTCACAAGAGTTTAATGGGATTGACACTTTACCCTCGTTGTTGTGTATGTCAGTTTATGATGTATTGTCTTCCATTTTGTTTCAGCATTATTGTTCATAAAAGTTAAACGTAGGACGAATACTGCAAGTGCTTTTCATCAACAAGGTATATCTATTGAAAGTAAGACTCTCTTGCCCCGTGTGAGCTGGGATAGGCTCAAGTTCCCTGCAACCCTTCAAAGGATACCACATGATATAGCTGTTGCCATTTATTTGTCTTTCTGTAGACCAAGAGTATCAAATCAATTAGCCCTACTAATCCAACAATGTCTGTAGTAGACTCAGCCTTGCTCCCCCTAACAATTTTCAGATTACAAATGTACCTACTAGGCTATCAGTCTTACGCTGAATGCACACCAAACATTAGGTGCTGGTCATGGCAATGACATTAGAAAAGAGGATGACAGTATACTAAGCTCCATTAATTGTGATACAATAAAATCATTTTAAGTTTAAACTGGATTTATTATTATTTGATTTATATGCAAGAGATTGACGGGTAGTCAACCCGCAGTAGCTACCTATAACACAGATTTTGATTTATAGTTGTAGCATCGTATTTCATCCATTGACATCACCTCTGCAACGCTAGACATATTTCATTGTTAATTAATACTGTATTGTTATTAATAATGTGCTTTACATTCCCCACAGTAAAACAGTTCCATTTACTTTGTCATACAGAGCAAGAGTGAACTACACACATAGATTGATAGAACTGGAGTTCTATCGAGGTAACTTATACTTCACCGGCATTTGAAACATGTAGGGGGGAAACACAAGCAGTCAATCAAAGTTCTTGCAGTTCAGTCTCCGTGCCGTGGCCCCGGTGTGATGTTACATTTTTGAGGAGACGTAACCTCAGGGCCTATGCACATTGATTCCATGGGTAAACAGTAGCCCCTAAATGCAGAAATATAAATCCAGCTTTAGGGCCTAGTCTATAGTCCTCCTCTTTTCAAATAATATTACATTATGACATAATCCCAAGTCCTATAGCCAAAATCAAGCTTCAAATAAGCTTCACTACAAACCAATGGGTGAAATCATCAGGACAGCCGCTTTTTCTACAGTGTAGCCAGTGTTATGTGAAGTAGGTCAAAGATTTACTACCAAAGCGCCAGGTTAAAGGGCTTAATTATCTGACCACACTTCCCACTTTTAATTACATGTATGGTTTTTCTGAATAAAGGAAGGAAATACTGTATTTCCCTGGATTATCATCAGTCCTGTGAACCACTCAGTAAAAAAATATTACTATGGATGTGTCCTAATTTTAACAGGGTGTCTGACCTACGCTGTCATGGATTGTCTGAAAAATCACTTTTTTTTCCAAATTAACACGGTTTTCATAGAGGAGACAGCAGGCAAAATATGCAAACAGGCTTCAGAGAGCATGTTTACTCTGCAGTGCAAACACCCAATAAACCTGTCTGGAATGTACAAGTGAGCAGTGGAGTATGTAAAAAATTAATACACACACACAGACACACACATACACTTAGCTAAGAATGGAAGTGTATTAAGTGTGGCTAGCCAGATCCATTAACTATCAAAGCATATCATCATTCAGCTGACATCACTGCATTGTGAGCACCAACACCACAGAGCCAAGGAACACTGGGAAAAGCTATTACAGAAGTATAAGGCTGGAATTGTTGTTGAAACATACCGGTCATATTTCACACAGGATTTGTTTCAAGCCACCTACTGCAGAATATATATTTCTTCCATATTGTGTAATACATTTAGAAGCAGCTACAACAGAAAATATCAATTTTCAGCATCAATGATAATTCCAGTGACAACTAGGAGCCTGCTCCTTATGCTTCGCCTGCCATTTGGGTGGGGGCTTAGTGAAAGAGGCTAGCAAAACAACACTCTCCAGCTATGCTAATTGGCATACTTTCACATGGGCTGGAATGCTATGATAACATCCACCTCTATTCCCTGAGGAGGCC